CCAGAAGTGGCGCTGTGGCTCAAGTGATAGAGTACTAGCCTTGAGCTGAAGAGCTGAGGGACAGCGCCCAGGCCCAGAGTTAAGGCCCCACGACCAGACCCCCCCCCCAAAAAAAAATTTAACCAGCAAAAAAGCCAGAAGTGAAGCTGTGCCTCCAGTGGTAGTACATTAGCCTTGAGCACAAAAGCTAAGGGACAGTGTCCAGGCCCTGAATTCAAGCCCCAGTACTGGGGGGCAGGGGAGAACAGGGGCAAGAAACACTAGGGAGCTTGAAATCTTGCTTAAAAAAAAATTGGCACAGAAGCATGGCTGTACTTAACCAATCACTTCAGCTCTATCAACATACAGATGTGATGAGCCGGAAAGGAATCATGTGGAAAGAAATAAGGGCTCTCTCTGCAATGCATGTAGCACCTCAGTAGGCATCCAAGGGTGTTTTCTGGGTAAACATAATCCATGTCCGGTGGTAATAGGGTGTGCGTGTGTGTTCTGTGCACATGCAATCTGTGCTTCAAGATCCTTACCACAGGTCTAGCTTCCTCCCGAGGTGCCATGACCTTCATCTTGCCCCCACTGCTGCTCCGGTCTCTCAATCTGGCGAAGTGCTTCTGTATGCACCTGAGGTCCTGGGCACTGCATGGGCTGAAGCTGTTGTTGGGGTGATCACCTTCATCCTTGTCTGCAGACAGGTTGAGAAAAGCAAAGGGCAAAGGTCAGGACCTGGGAAGAGCAGGGCTTCACAACAACCCAGCCTCCCACCTGCTTCCTCCTCCAGGGGGATTCCAGCATGAGTCTGAGAACAGCAGGGAGCCTGTGGAGGGGCAGGAAGAAATGAAAACACCCCTTCTGCACCCCTCTCCCCTGGACTTCCTTGGGAGAGTACTCTTGAAGTCCTTGACTTGTCCCTCACCCCACCCTGTTCAGCTTTCAGCTTTCAGATGAGTCAGTCACCGGCTGCAGCTGCCCAGATGGCAGGAGGGTCCCCTGGGTTCTGTTAGGGAGGTCTGATGAAGAAGGGGGTTGGGGAAGTAGGCTATTGAATCTCCCTCCTCCCACCATCCCCCTCTCCTTCTGTTCACTCTGTCCCCTGTCCTACTCTTTCCAGTGTCTGACTGCCTAGGATCCCCAGGACCAGAATCAGACTTTCCAGAATCAGAGCCCAAAGGCTCTCCCACTGCCTGGGCGGGACTTAATGTCCATCTGCATGGGAAAGTAGGAAGGTGACACCCTGTGTGGCTCAAGGACTAAGAGAAGAGTCATGCACATTTCTCTAGCCCCCACCTCTAAATCTTTCCTCCATAGACTTCAGGCCCCATCCAATGTTGGTCTCTGTTTCCCCAGAGTTGGGGATCTGGGTATGTGAGGCTAGGAGTGCCACAGCTGGGGACCCTCACTCCCTCCAGGGGACCTCCTGAAGACTCTAGCTGCGCTGCAGAGAAACCCTATCCAGGAGGTCCTGGACTGTAACCTTGTTCCTCCTTCCAGGCAGCCAAGACTGGAATGCAAGGTTGAGCTGGAGAAGGAGGCTGGAAGACCTTTCAGCATATCAGAGCCACCTCTGAAAAGCTCGGGCTTGGCAGCCTGCTACAGGCCCCAGTGTGGAGCCCCTGCCAGCATTCCAGATGTTGGCAGGCGAACAGGAGGTTACATCTGGTTTGCGTCAGGACTTTTTCTTCCTGAGGAGTTAGCAGGTTCCTTCATGTGTGGCAGTAGGCCCAGAGCTGCCTCTTGGTCAAATGGTATTTTTCTGCCTGGGCAAAGCTGTGGGAGGCGGGGGGGGGGGGGGGGGCTGGGGGGAAGGCAGGGAGGGGGGAGCAGCAGTGGCGTGGGGAACTGGTTCTCATTTTCTTCATCTAGCTAGAGGGATGAAGGGATAAGCACACAGATGAAAGAGAAAACAAGCAAAAGACGTTTGAGACCATTAGAAAGTCTTTGTCAAGATTTATAATAAGACCAAGTTACTATAGATGGAAGATTTTGTCACAGGTGGAAGACTAGCTTAGAAAAAGGGTTCACAGGGCGGGAACAAGTGGACCAGAGACATCCAGTCCATCCTTTTGTATATGAAACACCCCAATGACAGTCAAGAGGGGACTCTAGCACAAATCAAGCTTCAGAGACACAGCCAAAAATGAGGCACTGCAGCAAAACCCATTCCCCAGGAAGTATAGGCAGCAAAAGTGGGGGTGTAGGGTTGTGCCAATGGAACCACAAGAAGATATGCTCTAAGCCTTCAGTCAGGAGCCAGGGAAAGTTCTAGAATCTAGGCCTTTCCTCAGACCCCCTTCCAGAGAGCCTCTGGCACAAAAGACCCAGCAAGCTAACACCCTGTTCTCCCTATTCTCACCCTGCATAAAGCCATGAGCTTATACATAGGGTCACACTGTTTCAGGGTGTAGACGGGACCTAGGTTGTGGAGAAAGCAGAAAAGGAAGACCCAAAGAATTAGAAACAAATCTTGGAAGGACAGAGGCTGAGCTCAGGGTGTGAACAAAGGTAGGATCATTGGCCTTGGGTATGACTGGAGCTGGGATACTGTCCTCTAGGGAACACCCCTTCCTACCTTGAAAGCCTGTATTCTTCCGGAGTGGGGGTTCCCTTCACAAAAATAATGGAAAGGGTGACTTTACCCTGGGATTCTAGGTCCTTTTAGTAAGTGTGCAGAATGGCATTAGGCTCACAGTTCAATGATTCAGAAAAGTTTTATGTTGTTGTTGTTGTTGTTTCTTTGTTTTTGTTTTTTGGTCATGGGGCTTGAACTCTGGGCCTAAACACTGTCCCTCAGCTCTTCAGTTCAAAGCTAGTGCTCTACCACTTGAGCCACAGCACCACTTCCTGTTGTTGTTTCTTTGGTCCTTTGTTGTGGGGGGAGAGGGCAGTAGTAGAGCTTGAACTCAGAGCCTGGGCACTGTATCTTAGCTTTTTCACTCTAGGCTGACTTTCTACCACCTAAGCCACAACTCTATTTCTGGCTTTTTAGTGGTTAATTGGAGATAAGAGTCTTCTCATAGACTTTCTGCCCAGGCTGGCTTTGAACAACAATCCTCAGATCTCAGCCTCCTGGGTAGCTAGGATCACCAGCACCCAGATAAGAAGGCTTTTCTTTCTTTTCTTTTTTTCTTTTTTCTTTTTTTGTCGGTCATGGAGCCTGAACTCTGGGCCTAGGCACTGTCCCTCAGCTCTTCAGATCAAGGCTAGCACTTTACCACTTGAGCCACAGAGCCACTTCCGGCTTTTTCTGCTTATGTGGTGCTGAGGAATCAAACCCAGGGCTTCATGCACGCAAGGCAAGCACTCTACCACTAAGCCACCTTCCCAGTCCTAGGACTTTTCTAAAGAAAAGTCTTAGGAGACTGAGAGCTCCCCACACTGCACATGTGCAGCACTGGAGCAAAGGAGAAAGCTCAAGAACCCAGAGAAGCTCCATCCACACTCTACTTTCTACTGAGGAGCTTCAACAAGCTCATAAATGACAAACTCAGGAAATCACCCATGGATATTTGAGTTGTTCATTGTATATGGAGGACAATGGGGTAGTTCACTGAAAACTAGGCTGCTCAGGATACAGAGTGAGCCCTCAAACATAGCTTCAGCTCTTGCTGGAATGGCTCTAAGCTGAGCCAGCAGCCTGCCTCACTTCCGGACTGCTGATCTCCCCCATCCCACTGACCTGGACTTCATGTCTAAGCTTAGGGTAGAACCCACCCTCCTTACTACTCACCTGGGGACATAGGTACACAGAGTGAAGTCCACATCTGCCCACCCCCACACAGGCTGAGACTCAAGAATCACAAACACATACAATTATGTGTCCAGATATAAACACTTGTCCACGTGTGCACACCCACATAGATTCAGGCCCTCTGACCCTACCATAGTCAGAGACACAGACCAAAGCAGGCTACAGTGAATTCCAGGTTCTCTGGACCACAGAGTGTTGACTTTTCAGTTAATCTGTGACTTTGCCTTATCCAGCTTTACTAACTGGCAGACTGAGGATCCACCCCAGGATCCACCCCTAGATACTGGGTTGGGAGGGGGGGTGGTAAGGGCTGTAGCATCAGGCCCACGTGAAAATCTTCCAGCAAGGTTCACCTTGAAGTGCCCTCTACAAAAGTCTCAATGTCCTTGGACTCCCCTCTAAGCATGAGCTGCAACCACACTCCTCACAGTGGAAGGCCAGACCTCTGAGAAGTTCTGGAAGGTGGTGTTTCCAAGACAAGCTAGGTTTTCTCCTTCAGCCCTGGTTTGGAGCTGGATCAGCTGCCATCCAGCACAGGGGAAAGCTTTGCTTTTTGCTCTAGCCCCAAAGGAGAGTAAGAAGCCCAGAGGTGGGCTGGGAATGTGGCTTAGTGGTAGAGTACTTGCCCAGCATACATGAAGCGCTGGGTTCGATTCCTCAGTACCACATACACAGAGAAAGCCAGAAGTGGCACTGAGACTCAAGTGGTAGAGTGCTAGCCTTGAGCAAAAGAAGTTCAAGGACAGTGCTCAGGCCCTGAGATGAAGCTCCAGGACTGGCAAAAAAGAAGGAAGAGGAGGAGGAGGAGGAGGAAGAAGAACAAGAACAAGAAGCCGCCCAGAGTAAGAAGAGGATGCACATAGCCTTGGCATCAGGGGCTACAAAGTTTCTGCTACATGATTTTACCCCATGATTTCTCCTTAACTCCAGCTCACATCTCCATGAGACCCATAGGCTATGAACTAAGCGGGACCCACCACTCAAACCTGGAAGTTTCAGTCATGCCTTGAAGGGTCACACAATCAACGTGCCAAGAAAGGCCTTTCTTTCCTTCTTCCCCAGTACTCTGTTTGCAGAAGCCAAGATCATCCATACCAGGTATCGAGTCTGGTTCAGAGACTGTCTCCCTCACTATTGTGTCATCCTTCTGGCCACAGGTAAAGCACATGTTTTCTCCATGTGTGTGCAGTAGCAAAAGGCACCAAAGCTAACCAACCCTTCTTAGCTCCGTTGAATGTGCTTCCAACTTTGCTTCCTTGACCTACAGGTCCCCAAAATCCCAGTATAAGCTTCCTCATCACCATCACTCCAATTTATTGAGCTCTTCAGCCATGTCAGACTCCCCCCTCCCTACCCCCAATGCTATCCTATCAGCATTCCCATTTTATTTGATGTGGAAACTAAACTCTCCTGGGTGTAGGAAAAGAAATGAGACTAGCCTCTGCCGCTTCTATGTCTAAATGGACAGACTTCTGATAGCCCAAGGAACCAATAATTCAGGCATTGCCAATACTAAAGTAAAATGCTAAGCAGTCACACTCCTCCTTTCCCTTCCCCCCAAGGCACAGAATTTCTGGGAAGGCCCTGTATCCATGGCATGACTAGATTCCCAGTACTGAAGTAGAGAGGGCAATATTTGCTGCGTTGACTAAAAATTAACCCAGACTGCCTGATCCCTAAGCCTGTCCCTGAAGGACCCAGAGCGCAGTTTGTGAACCCTGTCCCAGGCCTGATTTCTCCATTGAAAATCTCCCAGATTTCAAGGGTCAGTACCATGATGCAAAATTGTAGATTTCTGATGCACATGGCCATCTCCACCTTTGGTGGCCTGGGGTTAACCCATAATATGACTGAGAAAGGAAGGCAGGACTGGCTAGAGATGGAAGTGGGAGGCTTGCCCATGGGATAAATAGGAGGCAACTGAACCGAGGCTGAGGGAGGATGAATGCCAAATATCCACTCTCTTGCTGAAACTTAACCTCAAGAAAAAAAAGAACAGCAAGAACAGATGAATATCCTCTACCAAACTATTCTTGACAGAGGCCCTCAAGCCTGGGAATGTAAAAGGGACAGTGGCCTGTTGACAGTATCAAGCTAAAGAGGAGAGTGAAGACTGGGGCTGAGCCATGCTGAGTATCTCACCAGAGTCCCTGCAGAGTTGTCATGTGGCTGTATTGGTGTCACTTCCCATGGTGCCATGTGGGCCAGGCCATGAAAAGGAAGTACTTCCACAGTGACTAGGAAGTGACAGGGCAGGGCATAGCTTGCTGAGTGAGCACCTGCTTTTCCAGGGTCCTCCTGGCTTCCCTTTACCTCTCTTCTGATAACTATATCCAAGACACTGAGTGGAGGACAAGGCCAGACAGGAAGCAGGAGGGGTTATTAGTAAGCTACAGGTTCTGCAATCAAAGTAGACCTACAGCCACTAGACATCCTTTGACATCTAGACACCTCTTGAGGCTGGTTTACATTATGTCTACAGGATAATGGCAAACTGTTCATGCCATATCTACACCACCCCTAAAAAAAAAATCTAGAGGATAAGATTGTCCTCCACTACATCTGGGATGCTTATACAGAGAAGATAGTGTCAGAGAAGAAGTTACCAATCTTCTCTGCTGCCAGATACCTATGAGCTACTGTAAAGTTTCAAAGACAAAGTTATACCCAGGGAGCCCAGACTCAGCCCTTACTCCTGGTCTCTCTGCTATGGGCATTTCTGCCCCCAATAGCAGTGATTCCATTCCTGAAAACCCCACTCTCCAAAAGTGCTGGGTTCCAGCTGGCATTTTCCCTAGAATGTTTTCTGCTGACCCATCTCTCCCTGCCCAAGGGCAGGAAGGGCAGAGAGGCCTGAGGCCCAGACTCCTGGGGTCCACCTTCTTCCTGTTTTCCCTGCATCCTGCTTTCCTCCAGCTCACAAGCTGCAGAAGATTGAGGAAGTAGAGCAGTCTGGGACCCAAGGCAGGAAGCTTGGGGCCAAAGTCCCAGCATCCGGACTGCAACAATGGGAGCTTTAAGCACCAAGAAAAGAGACAGACACCCACAGAGGCTCAGAGAGGGCAAAACAGTCAGAGAGAGAGATCAAGAACTAGAAACAGATACAGCAAGGCAGAGAGAGAGACTGAAAGCAACAGAAACACAGTGACAGCCACGGTGACAGAAAAAGTGCAGAAAAAGAAAAGGAAAAAAACAATAGAGTAAGGCAGAGCAAGAGAAAGAAACTAACAATGCATAGAAAACACTGAAGAAAAGAGAACTTGAGAGCATCATGGTGAAACCAGAAGTTGAGAGCCAGCAAAATATAACAAAAGAACCAGAGAAACAATGAAAGATACAGAAAGATTCCAAGGAGAACCTGAGAAGCTTGATGCGAAATGGAGAAAATCTAAAAATGAGGTTGAACAAAGAGCTATATAAGTGCCCCCCCCCTTAATCTCAATTTCCTTTTGCACACCCTTGACCTGGGAGCCAGGGCTTCTCTCCTGCTACTTTACCAGATGGTACCTGCCAGGAGAAAGGAGCAAGCAGCCTGCACACTAGAGCAAGTAGAGATGCCCCGACCTGCTATGAACACCTTTGTCTTTCCACCAATTCTCAAACAGATGGCTCAGGTCTTTGGGAAAGGACAAGTCTTATTGCCTCTATTTGTATGTTCCACTCCACCACAGGGAAATGGTGAAAAGTCCAGGCCTTAGCTCTTCAGACCCCTGGGGTCTCACTTGTGGCCCTGCTTCAGGAATTGAAAGATGCCCCCCTTCCACCTCTTTCCATCCCAACCCACCCCTTCCCACCGATTTTCTATCCCTAAGCAGACCTGACTGGAGCAGGTCACTTACTTGGCCACTCTTGTGGTAGCTCCCAGCCTACCAATGAGAGCCTCTTGCTACACAGGCACCCCTGGGAGATGGAGGGCTGGAACAAAGTTCCCTTGGATGGTGTCCCAGGACTCAGTAGCAGTTTCTTTGGCTGAACCTGTCCTGCCAGTAGTGCCTGCTGTGCATACCTACCTTCTCCTCAGATCCCAGGGCATTTTCACGGCCTGCCAGGCCAGCCAGAATTAAGGATGAAGCTGCTAAGTAGAAAACCCACTGCGGATGGAGTAGGAGGGCAAGGGTACCTTACCAGAAGGCTGCAGGCTTTCCTGGATGGCTTCGATCTCTGTCAGCTCCGTGCATACCCCTTGCCCGTGCACCAGCATGTGCAGGGGCCTCTCCACCCCCCGGGGCGGGTAGCAGCGCAGGCCTGAGCCACAACGAGGGGTGTATACCCCGCAGGGCATCCCCAAGCCCAGGGCGCAAGTGGCACAACAACCACAGCCAGGTTCCCGCACCAGCTCCTCGCAGCCCACGGGGGGTTGGCAGCGCGCCAGCTTCTCCTCGGAGCAGGGTGGGCAGTGGATGGCTTCGTCGCCCAGGCTCGGGCCGGGCCCGGCGGCCAACAGGAGGGCCACCACGAGGCAAAAGGGCAGCATGACCGGGCAGGGACCAGGCACACGGGCACGGGCGCAGGCGGGGAGCGCGGGGCGATCGGACAGGCAGCAGGGGTATGGGGAAGCAAGTGCCGGGGGCACCTGGAGGACCCGATCCCGGAGGGCTCGGAGAGACGGGGCGGCCCAGAGCAGACAGGGCTGGAGCCGGGGAAGTTAGCGTGCGCGCCGGAGCGGAGCGATCCTGGCCGCTGGGGCGCTGCGCCGCATCCTCGGCCGGGGCCCCGGCTAGCGGCGGGAGGCGGGAGGCGCGGGGCAGGGGGCTGAGCGGCTGCCGGAGAACGGCTCCCCAGACTTTATACCGGCCCCTGGCCACACCCCCAGCGCCTTCCTCGAGGTGGGGGAGCCCGGGCGGGTGAGGGGGAGAGGGAGAGGCGGCCGTTAGGGGGAGGGGGCGCTGTCCTAAGTCGCCGTGGCTCCGACATCTGAAAGTCCTTTGCTCGCAGGCACCCGGGAGCCCTGCAAAGAGCTAGGAGAGGAGCGGCGAGGGGGCTGATGCCTGCACCCCCACCCCCCCCCCGCCCCAACCTCCGAGGATTCCGTCTCCCTGGCCAGAGTCCTTTCCACCACCACCCTGGGGCTTCAATTGCGGGAGACCACGCGGGGTGAGGTTGGGTACAGCCACCCCACAAGGGCCTTGAGAAGGGTTGCTGGCCCGTGACACGAATAGGCTGTCTTCCCATTTACCCCCCTATCCCCAAGGGCTCCTTTGGGCTCTGATCCACTCTGCCTTTCCAGGATGGAATCCACCCAACGCTGAGGGAGAGAGAGGTTCCAAGTCTCTCCTGCCTGGATGTTTGCCTCTACTACCCAGATCTGCTCCCGGAGGGAGACTGGACACGTTGTGCGCTGAACAACTCCAGGGGGCACCATTCCTTGTGATCGGGCGTGCATTTGCATAGCTCTTGACAGTTTCCCAGTAGATCATCGAGGATTTTGAGGAAGGGGGTACATTTTTCTAATTCACCCAATGCAGCTCTTTGGGTTAGTGTTCAGCTGGCTCACTCCTCCCTGAAACCCGCTCAGTGCTCACATCCCTCATCCTCTCGATGCTGCTGAAATTGGTAGGTAATCTAGAGGGTCTTCTCTCTAGCTTCCTTCTCAGGTTACCCCCAAAGCCCACACCCTCCTCCTACACAAAGATTCCTGCCAGCCTGGAACATACCCCAAAAGGAAGGGCACCTTGTCCAGGCACAGTCTGTGACCCAATGGGAAATGTTTTTGGCTTGGCTTAGAAAACTAAGGAGTAGCCAAGCTGAAGTGACATTTGTAGGCCCCTTTCCTGCTTCTTCTCCCAGGATAGGGTTCTTTCTGTCTCCTGGCATTTAGGACACCTCCGGCTTTCTGCAAATTCAGACTTTTGTGGAGATGGGAGGAAGAATCCAGCTGGATGCCAACTTGTAGGACAGACCAAAAAGTTACAAACTGATGACACCTACTGGCAATCACTAAGACTGCAGAGATGCAGACCAAGGAGGCTCATGCCTGAACAAATCCTAGCTATTTGGCAGGCTGAGATTTTTAGGATGAGGAGGCCAACCTAGGCCTCCTCAAGGAAGAACTGGATGCAATGGCACACACCTGTTATCCTAGCTACTGGAGAAGCCTAACATAGGTGGAGCACAGGGACACCTTTGTAGAAAGCCAAACCCTATCTCAAAAAATAACTAGCAAAAATCAAGGTTGGAGGCATGGCACAGAACTGAGTGCCTGCTTAGCAAGTACAAGACTCTGAGTTCAAAATCTCAGTACACCAAAAGGAAAAAGATTGCAGAACACTTATGGTCAGGAACAAAGTTCTAGGACTGTCTCCATCCCATCTTTCAGATGAAGAAGGGATCCTTCTATCCCCATCTGTCTTAGAGAAGAGCAAACACAACTAAGTCCCTCCAGTTCCTGGGGAAAAATCCTGCCTGTTCCTGATTCAAAGACCCCACCCCATACTCCCTCCTTTTCCTCCCTCCTCACAACCTAGTTCTGCCACCAGCTTGCTAAATGAATCTGCAGTTTGTCCCTAACTATAAAAGGAAGGGAGCTAGATCATCTTTACCCACCCCATTTCTTGAAACTCTTGCAGAAATGAGAATAGTTCTGATGCCAGTGTAAAGATAATGGGACTCAGAGATCAGAGAGCAGGTGAGGCTCGAGAGAGCCCAAGACGAATACTGAAGTTCCAGTGAGGTGAGAAACTCCATCCATCTTCTAGTATCCTTCCCACACTTCATTTAAAAATAATGTCTGGGATCATTCCAAGGAGGTAAAAGAATGAACTAGAGGAGGCCTTCCAAGCACCTCCCCCACCATTCATGCAACACCAACATGTCACCTAAGTTTACTGAACACCTCTTGCTCCCAAGTGTTGTGTTCCATCTTGGGGATGTAGAGGTGGCCAAGACCACTCCAGGAGTTCACTTTCTAGTGAGAGAAGGCAGAAATGAAAATAAGGATAAGCCCTTTATGAAAAAATCTGGGGCCAAGTCTTTCATGTAAAAGGAAAAAACACAGATGTCAGCATCATCAAGCTGGACCAATCCCAGCTTTGTCTCTAGGAACTCACTAGGGACCTGAAGCAAGTTACTTCAGGTAGCTTCAAGCTTTGTCTGATAAATGGGACTTTTCAGTGTAAGAGAGGGACCTGTAAAAAGCAGATAGTAAGTATTTGTTTCTCTACTATCCCTACTCTGTAACTTCCTCAAGTATGGCAGGATGCTCTTGAAGACTGGGTTTCTTGAGAATGGAAACATAGGAAGAACATGAGATCTGGAGAAAGAGCACCTGGGTTCAAGTGGTAGCATAGGCACTGATGGAGGAGACAAATTATACATAATAACAGTCACCCCAGGAATGGACTAAGTAGTTGCATCTTGGTGCAGCTACCTTCCTGTCCATTTGGGATTCCATACTTTCAGTAGACTCAGGATCTCCACAGGGAACCCACAGTGCAAACGGAAGGCTGGTCTAGCCCAGCTCCAGAACATAGAGCCCAGTCTAGATGTATATGACTCCAAAAGTAAATACCAGGAATGAGTAGGGATAGGGAGAATGGAGCCCATCTGCAGTTGAGCTGGTCAGGATCTGGTTTCATATCTTTAGACCAGCTAGTTCTCCTACTTGCCCACTTTCTGACCACTTCCCCTTCCTTAGCTTCAGTTTTACCGTCTGGGAAGGGAGGTAGAGCAGAGGAGAATACACAGAATTGTGAACCCCTTCCAGCTCTGAGAGTCTAGGAATCTAGGAGTTCTATGGTCCTTTTGAGTCACCATAGCCGCCCCTCCTCTCCTGCTGGCATAGGTCCCAATCCTTCAGTCTATACTGGCACAGGCCATCAATCTCATTGACTAAAGTCTGCACAGACTCTGTTGGGCAGAGCTTTTTTTTTACCACTCAGAGAAGTGATCAGGTTCATTCAAAAGCACACAGCTAGAGAGTAATAGAGGGGGGCCTTGTGACAAGTGTATGTAATATTTGCTACGCAAATAGCCTCTGCTCCTTACTGCCTCTGTTGCCTCAAAGTCATCATCAGTGAGCTACAGGTTCAGGGCTCAAGCGAAAAAGGTAGCATGGAGGGAAAAGAAGAAAGGGCAACCCAGGAGAATCTTGCAGAACTTCTGCAAAAGTACAGACACAGAGAACCTGAGCTGATGGAACAAGATGTTTTAGAATTCCCTGACCTGCCCCTTCTCCACTACATACCTGCTGCTGTTGTGTCCAAGAGGAGGGCACCTATTTGCCAGAGTACCCTATGACCTCACAGAGATTCAGAACAAATTCCCTATTCTTTTCCCCATGCTCCCTGGAGGAGGTTTAGGCCCTGCCTCCTACTCTCCCAGCTCTGGGGAACATGGTTCCACTCACCCCTTAAGGAGACCCCAAACAGAGTCTACCAAGGGACCTCAAAACCCAGAAAGACCCTCAAAAGGAATCAAGGCTTAAGAGAAATACCATAAAGGGCCTTTCAGACTCAGTAAACTTCAGAGAGAGGGTTTGACATACAGATAGATAACCAATACCCATACACCTGTACCCCTGAGCAGTAGGCCTCCCCTCTCCCTATCAGCACCAGGAGTTCATGCAAGGCACCAGTCATCATACCAGTCATAACCACTTTCTGCTTATTCTCAGACCTTCATTCAGTGGCTCATGCCTGTAAACCTAGCTTCGGGAGGCTGAGATGTAAGAATTGTAGTTCAAGGCCAGCTGGGGAAGAAAAGCCTGTGAGACACTTATCTCCAATAAACGACCCCAAAAAGTCAAAAGTGGAGCTGTGGCTTAAGTGGTAGAACATTAGCTTTGAGCAGAAGCAGCTCAGGGATAGCACCTAGACCCTGAGTTCAACCCCAGGACCCGTGTGCGCGCATGCGCACGCGCGCACACACACACACACACACACACACACACACACACACACACACAAAACAATCAAGACCTTCATTCATTTTTCAGACCCTTTCATTCCATACCCAAAATCTTATACCAACCATACTGGCAATTTTTTTTTTGGTAGGTTGTGGAACTTGAACTCTGGGCTTGGGCATTGTCCTTCAGCTCTTCAGCTTAAGGTGAGCACTCTACCACTTGGGCCACAGCACCACTTCCAGTTTTCTGGTGGTTAATTGGAAATAAGAGTCTCATGGACTTTCCTGCCTGGGCTGGCTTTGAACTGTGATCCTCAGATCTCAGCCTTTTGAGTAGCTAGGATTACAGGCATGAGCCACCAGCACCCAGCTAACTTCTTTTTTCTTTCTTTTTTTTGTCAGTCACTAGGGGCTTAAACGCTGAGCCTAGGCACTGTCCCTGAGCTCCCCAACTGCTCTACCACTTGAGCCACAGTACCACTTCCAAAACTTTTTAAATATTGACAATACCAAGACATGACATATTAGTGGTTGAAAGGAACTGATAATTCCACTCACCCATATATATATATATAGGGGTAATGGGAAAAGAATAGGGAATTTGCTCCAAATCTGTGAGGTCATAGGGTACTCTAACAAATAGGTGTCCTCTTCTTGGACACAACAACAGCAGGTGTGTAGTGAAGAAAGGCATTCAGGGAGTTTCCCTTCTAAAACATCTCGTTCCATCTGCTCAGGTTCTCTGTGTGTGTGTGTGTGTGTGTGTGTGTGTGTGTGTGTGTGTGTGTGTGTGTGCATTCCAAAGTATATGTTCAAGAGTGTTCATGGGAAGCACTGTATATGTAGAATTTCCAAAAAGGCAATCAATACACTATCACATTTGTACTTTTCTTTCCATACTGGGCAATGAACCCAGTGTTCTATCACTTGAA